AGAGAGAGAGAGAGAGAGAGAGAGAGAGAGAGAGAGAGAGAGAGAGAGAGAGAGAGAGAGAGAGAGAGAGAGAGAGAGAGAGAGAGAGAGAGAGAGAGAGAGAGAGAGAGAGAGAGAGAGAGAGAGAGAGAGAGAGAGATAGAGAGAGAGAGAGTGAAAGACTGAGAAAGGGCGGCAGGGACGATATAGCTGAGATATCTAATATAGTTAACCCGACGAAATTCGTCACTTCCGGTTGTATTCGCGTTCTTCCCACAGTTAATAAAACGAGGTACTTGTGTAATTTTACATCTTTGTTGTGTGGTTAGAATAAATAGATCCACTTTTACTCTACATTAAACACTTTGCAATGGTGCCCAGGATTGCTTCCCTTTCTCTACTAATGGCTTGATTAATATAGCACTAGTGGCAAGGAAATGTTCCTGTACACCACCTTGAAGTGATTTATTTACTATATTTCTATGTTATTAATCAGGACAAGCAAATATTTTGCAGGGCAAGCCAAAATAACTTGTAGCTTGTCCGTCAGTCAAGCAATTTTTTCCCCTTATTTCGAACAGTCAGAACACTGCTGTCCCATAGATTTTTACCTTGAGTTTTCTGGTAACTAAAAAATAAGCTTATCAATAATCCGTGACGACCAATCACAAGTAATGTCAACAAAAACGACCAATCAAACGACCATATATACTAGTGTACGTTACTTGTACAGAAAGTGTTGCCGTTATCTATTATAATTTTTCTTCGACTTCGTGTTGTAGGAAGCATTGTGTTGTACGTTTTACATAGTAATTATAAATTGTATTATTTTAACCGCCCAACACCCGAGGTGAACATACGTTAAAGTTACTTTTATGTTGATGTAAAGAATAAAGATTAAAGTCATTAAAAAAGCGCAAAATTAAGTATGGCTAGGAAAGGGGTTCCCTGTACTATAAGATAGTTGTCGTTAGTTTGCCACCTTCGTGATGACAGGTGCGTGGTAGGGAAGAGAGCCCCCGGATAAAGAGAGGATGAGGATCGACACTGAAGCACTAGCGCGCCCTGCTCAGATGAGAGAATCTCTCCTTCCGGCATCTCATTCCCCTCGTACATGTCTCCGTTGAGTCTTTAGTAGCTTTTGCTTTCACTACATTTATTGTCAGCACGTCAGCTAACCTTATAATAACAGTATATTGAATATTCAGAATAGTCAGAATACAGAATATTCAGTATATTGTCCTGTTGTTATTTCATTCTTTGCGTTGTATTGTTCCTCCTTCAATGTCCTCAATTTATCCTCGATAAATTGTTTAATTTATTCTCGCACCTTCACCAGAAGTGATGCCTTGTGAAATACAAGAGTGGGACAATATACGATACGATACGATACGATACGATACAAATTTTGTTTGCCCAGTAACATAATAGTACCTTACACCAGGATGCACCATTTAAACTATATCACGCGAGGATGTCAAGATGATTTTTTTGGCCGATCTTGGTTAGATATATATATATATAACTATATACTGCTACAAAAACCAATTTTGTCTGTCTGTCTGTCTGCTATGTATTGCGCCATTTATTGGTTTAGAACCCCCAAAATTTCCACACTGTTAGTTGATCACCCTCAGGGTGGCCTAAGCACATAATAGATTGCGAGAAAGCGAGCGAGAGAGAAAGAGCGAGAGAGAGAGAGAGAGAGCGCGCGCGCGAGAGAGGGCAAGAGACGTGGAGACAGAGAGAGAAATAAAGAGAGAGGGGGTGAGATTGAAACAGAGAGGGGAGAGAGAGAGAGAGAGATAGAGGTATGTAATAATAATAATAATAATAATAATAATAATAATTATTATTATAATTATTATAATAATAATCATAATGATAATAATAACAATAATAATATATTGCTTACCAGTGCACAGGTGACGTAGATTCCCAGAGAAATAAGCATGCCGTAGAAGGCCCGATAACTGAACATGATTTGTTCGGAACAACCCTGCATGAACAACCACGAACATACGACGTTAGGAACAGCACTGCATGAACAACCACGAACATACAACGTGAAGAATAACCCTGCATAAACAAAGACGCGTACGTGTTATGTTAACGTTATGTTATACGAACCGCCTTATGAAAGTAAGAATACGTGTGTGCGTGTGTGTGTACGTGTGCGTGTGCGTGTGCGTGTGCGTGTGCGTGTGCGTGTGCGTGTGCGTGTGCGTGTGCGTGTGCGTGTGCGTGTGCGTGTGCGTGTGCGTGTGCGTGTGCGTGTGCGTGTGCGTGTG